CCTCACAAAATATATATATATATATATATATATATATATATATATATATATTATGTTAAATGATAAGTGATGGATATTTTATAACAGAGTAATATTAGTTGCTAAATTATGTTGCTGGCTAATTTATGAATTTTTTGAGTGGTCAAAACTTGTCCATTAGAGCTAAAACATATGTTTTGTTGGTAAAATTTAGTTTTTGTTGATATAGAGTGAATCACTTTACCTAGAATGCAAAAAAAATGAAACAATTATTTATTTACAATTTATAAATACCATTTTCATGTCTTGCTAAGCTGTGATGTGATCTTGACTTTCTAATGATCAAACAAAACGTCTTATATGTTCAATATTCTTTTTATTAAATTCATTTAATTTTAATCTTTAACTTTGTCACCTAAAGAAACACAGACAAAGGCATTAAAAGTGGAGCGGATTTCAAGCAATTTTTGTGCTTATAACTTAAATGTAAAAGTTTTTGACTTTATTTAATGGAGACTCTAATCTAGACAACTATTGTCAAATGTACGTTACAATTATTATTGACCTGCCACTGCCAGTGATACCAATTTCTAGTAATTTTAATCACTTAGGAACCATTTTTTTTTTTTTGTTAATCTCAAGACATATATATTATCGGTTGAATATTGTAAAGTTCTTCTCTGTTGAGCAAAATAGACATTGAATCTTGAAAAATTTTGAGCTTAAGAAGTTTCTTGTTCTTACGGCCTTTGATTAGTGACACCGGTTAACTTCTTACTTTTTTCCTTTCTTTTGTTACTTGGAAATTAATGTTATGTTTGTTTATGGCGTACTGACTATGCTTTCTTGTTCTATTTTTTTTAACTAGGTTGATGCTGTACTGTTTGTCTATATGGGTATGTTTTTAACATGATTTGGCCAATTTTTCATTCAAGATTTACTTTGTATATATATAATTCTGCTTGTTCAATTTATTTTATTAGCACTTATCATAGCTATTTTTTAACTCTTGCCAAACATGATGCTATTTTTCCTTTTCTTCCCATTTTGCCTCCTGACATGATCTACATTCATGATTAATTTGACTTATTTGTTACATCAACATACCTTCAAACATCATTCATTTCATAAAAAGAATATATCTTTTTTTTTTTAATATCCTTGACGATTAGGTTTAATTGATTTCTCACTTTGCCTCTTTTCAAGATTTTCATTCGGACCTTACTTTGATTAACATGAATACCTTCAAACCTTAACCCTCTTACAATTCACACATCTTACCTTCCATATCTTTCAATGACTTTAATTAAAATGTTGCAATTATCATTTTTTATATTGGTCATAAAATTTCCGAATTTTCTTTTAGTCTAAGGTCATAACTTGTATTTTACCAATTTATAAAACTAAAAATGAGTCAAATTAGGTTGAATCTAACTTAACTCCACTTGAGATCCATGCATTGAGACTTGATTCAATTAGAATTTGACTTGGCTTGTATATAAATGAAAATTTTCAATTCTAATTGAATTCAACTTAATATGTGAACTCTAATAATATAAACCTAACAAAAAATACATGAATCAAATAATATTTGAGTATCATCATTCAAAATTGTGAGTGAACAACAATATTTCCTCATGTTTATAAAGTGGAAAGCACAATTAAAGACTCTTTAGCTAATCTAATACATGATTTACCTCTTGATATTTAGATCCTTTAATTCCTCTCCTCCCCTAAGGTTTCTTTGCACTACATCAAAATTAATTTTTTGTGGTAATTAATTTATTATTTAGTGGCCATATAAATGATCATTATTTTTTTAACCAGCATTTAAATAATGGCTGGTGTATCCAGTGTCACTAATACTATTACCAGCATTTATATAAAATGCTGGTAAAGATCTACTAAATTGTCAAAAAAAAAAATTTTAGTGGCAATTCTAGTAGTCATTTTAAAGGTTATTAAAAGTTATTTTTTTAAATTTTTTACTTTAATTTAAATAATTTATTAATATAATTTAATTTTATAAATTAATAAATTATATAATTTTTTTTATCTATACTAGATGTGGGATTTGTAAGATGAGGATTGTCTTTTACTTATATATTTTAATTTATTTTTTTAATTGCCTTGTCTCTTAAGAAATGTGAGATTTATAAGGTAAAAGTTGCTCTCTAATTGTTTTATAATACTATTGAATTTGGTAATAATGGGTGATTTGATACCAATTTAGAATAGTGAATTAGGAGTCAACCCTATAAAATGAACCTGTAAGGTGATAGTTATTACTCACTTATATATTAATTATCTTATCTCTAATTGATGTGGGACTTATGTTTCTTCTAATAAATAATTGTCGTTAATAGTTAACTTTAGTGTAATATAAATATATTTTTAGTGGCTATTATATATTAGCCATTAATATTTTTATATATGACGGCAATTAAATTATTGTCATTAAATAATTATCGTTAATAACAAATTTTGTTATAGTGTTGTTATGCAAATAGAATGTTATGGGTTGTTTACGTTCACGCCTGTTCATCCTTAGCTTTTTGTTCTTCAGCCTTTATGCTCTCCCTATTACAAAATAAAATGAAATTCTAACACAAGAGAAAAATATAAGGAGGGTAATTGACAAAATAAAAAAGTATTATAGTACTCTGAAAAATATATATGAAATTATAGGTGAAAAAAATGTAATTCATCTTATTTTTATTAATACAATTTTCTTTATATGTTTAAATTTAGATAAGTTATATTCCTTTTTTTTATTATTTCTTTAGAGAGAGAAATCATTCAATTGTTTCATTTTTTTTATTCTAGTAAACATAAGACTTTGTTGGTTTTTGTTTGGTTTATATTCTAAAAAAAGTACATTGCAGAGTTTTTTTTCTAAAAAATAAAAAAGATACTTGATGCATCTTTAAGTTTTTTTTCCGCTTATTTTATATGCACATCAAAGATAAGTAATGCATTTTGTTGACCTCTCATGAGTAAAATGTAATCTTTAATGTGACTTTATTGTGAGCGTATAGTGATGTTTATGGGTACAAAATTGATAATATAACACATTTTATGTCATTTGCATCTCATTTATGCACATTATTCTACAATATAACACACTATGTAAGTTAAAAAATATACATTTTGTTTAAATATTTTTTTTATCTATTAAAATTCAACTAATTTAACTTTTAATTTTCATAATTCTTTCATTCGATTAGTAATTTTACCGAAATATATGAATAATGACATAAGAACACATCTATTATCTTTTCTCTATTTATTCCCATATTTTATCATATTATTTATCATACTTAAATTTTGTTCTTCTATCTTTTTGTCTATGTTAAATAACAGAGGTTGTACATGGATTATTTTCTTATTGAATACATGTTTCTTGCCTCTATTATTAATTCTAATCATTTAAGTGATGATATGACATGAAATTATTGAAACATTACATAACGTGATCATATCATGTCATTTCTTAATAGACCAAAATTAACGACCGAAACTTTATGTCAAAATTGACTAAATTTTCAAGAGAAGACATATTTAAGTCAATGATGTAAATAGAAGTACAATATAGAGTGTAGTTTCACAAATGCATGTCTTGATATACATATAGGGGATAGAAGAAAACGAATGAAACTTGAAGATGAAATCGACAGAAGAAGGAGTAGAAGAATTGTTGCTTTGGAAGAGAAGAAGCAGCAGGAAAGAGAGAGGAATAACAACTCAATCAACCATGACATCAGAAACAAAGGAAAAGGCAAGGCAACAATGGAGGTATGTGATGACTTGATTGATTCTAATGAAGATGAGGATGGTCCAACCAAGAAGGGAGGCAAGAACAAAGAACTTTATCAACTCATATCTTCAATCAAGGTGTGTCTACATAATTATTGATGTCACTTCTTGAATGCAAATCCATATATTTTTTATGAATAAATGCATACTTGGTTTCTTTACTTTTGTTGATTATTTCACTAACTTCATAGCATTTATAATTGTTAAACTCACTCATATTCACTACAATAAATGTTACATATAGTGATATACAAAAAGTGTCACTATAAATATAATATATGTAATATAGCTACACACAATTTTAATGTTGATTTTGAATAAGATTTAACAACATATTTTGTGTGTCACTGTAGCTTATACCCACACTTTTTAACAATATACCAACATATATTATATTTATTATGTAGGTAAAAGTAGTTTTTAGTGACACTTATTGTGTCACTATAGGATGTGTGTCACTATATGACAATTTCCTTGTAGTGATTGCTAGAAACAATATAATGTGAGTTGCGCCCGGAGTATAGTTTACTAATGTCAAAATTTTAGTTGCATGAATTGATGTAGGTACATCAATATTCTATTGTCCATGTAAGATGTTTTTGGAAATACATATGTAGTTTATGCATGGTTTAGTGTAGATAGTCAATGACATGTTTTGGTTTTTCTAAAAATATCATTGATGAAATACTGTGTCTCACTTTTCTTTTTTTTTTTAAGGGGATGTGTCTCACTTAAATCACATATATATATATA